CCACCAGAGAGGAGATGCTACTGGACCCGTCCAGAGATAGCTCCAACAGCTATGCTGGCCTACAGCTCCAGACATGCACAGTTGGCTTATCTCCAGCAAACAGCAAGAAAAATCGTCCTTTCTACCATAGTTAAGAAAATAGTACGAAAGATTGAGACCGATCCTGATTAGCTTGTAGCCCCATTGATACCGCAGCAGTTGATACCAATCCTGTTGAGGCCGGGCAGAAGCAGTAGGAGGTAGCAGATGTACTGTTCCCAGACTGCCTTGCACGATTGAATAACGAGGCCCCAGCTCCTGGGGGAGCTGGCCCAAAAGGGTCCAGCAAGAGAGCTCTGCTGGCCATACCTCCTGTCTGACTGACAGGACCAAGTCCTTGGTTTGGTGCCTACTGGAGGTGTTGGAACACTCCTGAGGCACGACAAGGCTCCCTGAACTGCCTGACTACCGCTGTACCTGAGGAAGGGTTTCAGCGAGATCCAGTCCACTACTTGGGTATTGGAACTGAACCTTCCAGAAACTTATTGGCGAATAAGGCTAAGAGCCGTGTATTGCATTACTGTGTCATTTCTGTGTGTATCGTAGCTGTGGAATAATTGTGCATGCTTGCTGAATTTGTTGTCCATTGTTCTTTTGTAGATGTGGTTGGATTCTGGATCATAATAATGTGTCCATATTCTTCTCTGTTCTGCTAGTGGTACAGTCCAGGCTCCAAGTGGTTTGTTGAGGTTCAGGTTTCTCCAATTACAGAGTAAGTTGAGGGCTTGTTTCCATGCTTTCCATGCTTTTGCATTGGGTCGTTCTTGGTTAACTGGAATGTCATCTGTCTGACTGACAATGTTTTTGAGATCTCCTGAGTGCATAGCTTTGTCGATCTTCGTTCCGCAGGCTGTTGTTATGTCCGATAGCAGAGTAACATTGAGAAACATTCTGCAGTAATTGATTCGCTTGAGTGCTGTCTTTTTGAATTTTCCAGATTGGAGTACCAAATCCATTATGAAGATATCATTTTGTCGTTGGGGCTTGGGAGTGTATGGGTTGGCAAGTTTGATGGTCGCGTCAATTGTTTTCAGATAGTCTCTCATGGAGGAGATCCATTTGGATTCTAAATGGTGGAATGTGGTGGTTGTGTCTTCAAGAATTGGGGTTGATGTGCCACAGCAGAATTGTGCCCATGCCATTGCTATGTGCAACATGAGTCCTGGTTGGGGGTGTGGTGATTTCCAGAACTTTGTGAATGTTCTGACTTGTCCGTATCCTTGGTCATCAAAAAGGTGGAACGGGCCTGCTCCGCCTAGGAAGAGTGGTCCATACAAAACATCAAGGGAAGTCTTCCTGCTGTATCCCATTTTGGCAGTCATGGCTTGGTGTGATTGGGCTTGGATTTTGTTGAGTTCCTTGAAGGTAAAGTGGCACATTGGTAGGGCATAGCCCACACTGAGTTTGTAGATGGCCCAACTAGTATTCTAGCTAGCTAGGGGAATCTGCTTCTGGCTTGCAATGGGAATCTGCTTCTAGCTAGCTAGGGGTATCTGCTTCTAGCTAGCTACTACTAGGGATGTCTGCTTCTGCCTAGCTAGTAGGGGTGTCTGCTTCTGGCTAGCTAAGCACTAGTTAAGCATTAGCTAAGCACTAGAGGTATCTGCTTCTAGCCAGCTACCGTAGCTAGCTGGCTAATAGGGGTATCTGCTTCTAGACTCAAACTTTTCTGCCGAGGTTTCACAGCTCCGCTGGCTTATGCTTGGTGGGCATCCTCAAAGGACAGCCAGCCGGAGGCTAGTGCCCTCAACTTGCATTTTTCTAAAGGCCAAGGAAGGGTTCTGGTTTGATCGCTAGCCTTAACCTTGCAAGGAAACCGCACCATATTAGTATCTGTTTGATCGCTAGCCTTAACCTTGCAAGGAAACCGGACCATATTACGGACACACACACACACACACACCACACACACACACACACACACACACACACACACACACACACACACATCCAGCCCATCGAGGTATTGGATTTACGGTTTAGTTTAGCTTGGTTTCGGTCTATTACCGTACCGGCTCTATGTGTCTATTCAAAATCACCACAAACAGGGTACCCTTGCTTTCTCACAGCCTACCCGGCTTGTATCTTTTGCCATCCCCAGCTTGCTCCACTGATGAAGCAAACAGCGAAATTCCTAAGCTCAGAATTTGGAAATCAGCAAGCAACGGTATACCCCATGGATAAACATCCAATGGTAGATTCGTCGTAGATTAACTCTTAGTAGTGTCTACACACATCTCACACAACATCACACATCTCACACAACACTCAACGTACACACACCTACACACACATTCTCGTGTCGAGAAAAGGATCTGTCGTCCCAGAACCACCAAAACGCCATTTCAGCCCCTTCGAAAACACCAACGAAGGCGCAACCAAAATTATTTGAAGGTCTGAACCTGACTCAAGAGCACTCATTATATCAAGGGTATCTCCAGTTGTTCCCCTTCGAACCCCCAACAACAACAACAAGCATCGGCATCTTCGACGGAAAGAAGAAGAGGTACGAGTACGGAGCGAGTCGAGTCAACTAAAAGATACGCCAAGGTAGCACACCTGCTCTGGATACTCTTCGCTCCTTCGAATCCAATCGAATCCACAATTCAATTCGAATCGAATCGCGCGAAACGCACGAAGGCACCTCTACGTACGTCACTCGGAACTCGGAACTCGGAACTCGTTCCTCGGAATTCCTTGGAAACACGACTGAACACCTTGGTTTTAAGAAAATACGTATCTTTCGTTCGAGCGAGTTTTCGAGCAACACAACCAACCAACCAAGCACCATACAGAGGCAACTGTTACCCACAACACACTACAACAATAAGAGTAACATAGTAACCATGCCTGAGGCAAGAATTGAGAGAGTTCCCATCCTTCGCAATGGTGGTCGTGGCAGAGGCCGCGGCCGCGCAACTCCAATGGCGGCAACACCAACGCCACAGGAACAACAACCAGCGCGAAGATGATGGCTCCCCAGCAGGAAACGAACTGCCTTTGATCATCCGCGATCAATCCTCAGACATACCAACCCGATGCAACACAAAAGGAATCACGAGTGGCCCCACTGCAAGCCGCCCTGAATTTCCTACATGGCACCACTGCGAAGCTCCATGAGGCATACCACCGTACGTCAACAAAGTAGGAGAGGAATTTCAAAGCCTTTGCGGCACACCAGCGCAACAAGGACACTCTCGACGGTTGATTGATGGCAACAACAAACCGGGGAATTGACCCCGTCCCGGATTCCGAAAACAGTCGATATCAAATTCGAACTGAAGGCTGCAACCCAGCAATGGAGAGCGATGCGAGCTTCAAGCTCTCCAACAAGAATCCACACAAGCTGTTGAATCTACAAACAAACCCAAGCAAAAATTCTCATCGAAAGAAACAACTGGACGTCCAATATGCTCAAAAAGCCGTAGCCGAGTCCCTGGCTAGAGGCCTTCTTTGCCAATGGCCACAAGGTCATCTGCGGCAGAGAGAATCTCAATAGCCATGCAATCGTCAACACCATCCTAGAGGCACACCACGAGTGCTGCTCAAACACACTGCATTGACCTAGCAGCATTTAGAACAATATACATTAACGTCCAAGGTCTTGCAACCCTGCCTGATCCATTACCAGTAATTGATATTCAGCAACAGCCCAGCCACCAGTGGCACCTGCTCAGCCAACAACAATGCGCCTGTCCAGCCAGCAGAACCCCGGCTCCCCACCTGCAGGGGCCCTATTCCATCGACCAACTGACTGCTGTCTCCAGCCACAGCGACCTCGAGGCCACCAGGAACACATCCAGCGATGCCTAGCACGAGGCGCTAGTGCCGAGTCCTTCGAGGACTACAATGAAGCCAAAGAGAGAGCACAGTCTCAGCTGGAACAAGACCATGACGCAGCATTACCTACAAACTAGCAATGGAAACATATCAACATGCACTGGCACAGTACCAAACCCAATGGAATCAACATCAGCAGGAGCTCCAGCAATACCAGCAGGCCCTCCAGCAACACCAGCAGGCACTGCAGCAGTTCCAGCAGCAGATACAACAATATCAGCACAAGCCCAGCAGCCCTCCATCCCAGAGTTGGCCAAGCTGGAGAGACTCATCACTAGTGTCTTCTGCACACCCATTGACCAGTACCAGCACCAATCCAAACAATGTCAAGTCCCTTGCTCTCAAGAAGCTACACAAAGAGGCATTCACAACCAAGGCCACAGAGGACACTGCAATGGAGATTGACAGTGAACCTGCCTCTGACTCCCAACAGATCAAGGATCTGGTCAAGAAAATGGTACAGGAGGAACTGAAACAGACCCAAAAGCAAATTGCCAGAGCCACTGGCAAACATGTCACCCAAGCGCTCAACCAACAGCGCAACAACAATCAAAACAACAACAGCTCAAAGAACAACAGGAGGGGCCCAGCCCAAGGAGGCGCCTCCAACAACAAAAAGAAATCTCCCCACCAACAACAGTCCGCCAGAGGCGGCAGAACCCACGAGGAAGGTCCCAGTCCGCCCCAAGAGGCAACCGCCCAAGAAGCCAAAGCAGAGGCCGCCAAGGCGGCCGCGGCGGCAGGGCAGGACGAGGAAGGGGAGGAAGAGCCGGAGGAAGAGGCAACGCTACCTCCAGAGGCTCCACAAGATCGAACAGAGGCCGCTCCAGAAGCTCCTCTCCCAGCAGGAGGCAGAACTCCAACACCAGGAGAAGCAGGTCCTCCAGGCGATCGACAAGAGATAGAGCTCACATATGGCTTCGTCTCAGACCCGACCTCCATCTACACGACAATGTACAAATTAGACTCCTTCATATGCCGGCTGGTACTACTTTGCCAGGCCAACCAACTTCATACCACGACCTTACCACGACAATTAAGCCCCCACCAGGCCTCTACTCACTGTTGGGCCTGGGCCACAATTCATTCCTACACCTAGATACTCCCACACTTGGAATGACATCGAATCAAACACCCTCACCAGGTTCTCAGGGACCTGAGGGTGAAAGCCTTCTGTATTGGCCACATGCAGGAGGACAACACAGACAATGACAATAACAGTGATGAATACAATCCACGAATGCATCTGCAGTCTGACTGGCCCCACCAGCCCATATGGTCGCCACTCCAGTCATAGACCAGCGCCTTCAGCGCTTCAGCAGCTTCCTCCAGAGCAAATTCAGCCGAAGAAGAGAGGCAGAGCCAACTTCTGCCCCACCAGCGGCGTGCCCTCTGCCAACTCAGACGCAACAATGCCCTTATGGTCGTCCAATGTGACAAGAACCTGGGCCCAGCGACAATTGAACGGCATGCCTACATTGAACATGCATTCCGAGACCACCTTGATGATGAAACCTATGAATTCATCCCACCCACAAGGTTGACACTACAAAGACAAAGTGAAACAGCTCTCCTGAAGTGGCTCAAGAACTATGGCAGCATGCCTGCACTGACAAGGAAGAAAATTCCTCAAAGCTATGATGAAGAAGAATGAGGAACCATTGCTTATTTCTACTTGACAATGAAAGTCCACAAACACCCCTCAAAACCAGGCCCATTGTCTCCTACAGTGCAGCCTGCTGGAGGGGCGGGCATCTGGCTTGACTCAAGCTTCAGCCAGTTGCTCAGTCAATGATCCTACCTAAAAGCTCTTCGATCTCAAACAGGACTCATGTCCCTGCAGCTAACACCCAATTGCAAACTCTTACAGCTGATGCTTCCTCAATGTACACCAACATTCCCACGAGGACAGCATCACCAAGATCTCAAAGTGGTCAAAGACAACCAAGAACAGTTCCCAGACCTGCCCACCAAGGCAGTCCTCAAGGCACTGATTTCATTATGGAGTGGAGCTTCTTCCACTTCGGTGACACCACATGGCGGCAACTCAAGGGCACTGCAATGGGAGCCCCACCAGCCCCCCCTATGCCACCATCTACTTTGCCATCCTGGAGTCCATTCTGCTTCGATCCTTCATGGATAGTCTTGCAGTTCTGCAGCTCTACAGAAGATACATCGATGATGTTCGGCATATGGCACTGCCGAATGGAAGACAACCAGCTCCTGTGGGAGGCTTCCAAAAGGCAATGAACAACAATGAGTACAAGCTGCACTGGGAGTTCACTGAACTCTCCAGTCAGGTGGATTTCATGGACATGACAATCACCCTCACACATGACAACAAACTGGTCACCACACTGTATGAGAAACCAACCAACTTGATCTCTACATCCCATCCCACTCCGTCACCCACCAGGCCTCCTGTCTGGAGTGGTTATGGCAACCTCTTTAGGACTATACACTCTGCTCTGAGGAGACTGACAGGCTCGCCAGGACCAAGCTCTTCTTCAAGAGGCTCCTGGCCAGGGCTACCAAGCCACCACATTAGGCCCCTTTTTGAAGCAGCAATCACCAGGGCAAGGGCCTACACTGGCCCCCAGCCACAACAACAAGAAGGGACACCATGGGAATCCAGCTGCTGCACCTGGAATACCACCCCAAGGATCCCCCATCAAAGATCTTCCAGCAAGGCTGGAGGGATTGCATTGCCAATCCCACGAACCTGATGCCCTTCAAGCATGTCCGGATCCCACACACAGTGGGCCCCATGCGAGGCAACATGCCAATGGGACTGGATAGGATGATTGTAGCCTACTCCAGGCCCCCCAATCTTGGCAACCTACTGTCCTACAGGAAGGTTCCAGAACTAGATGGCTCCCCCGTCTCATCCTTTTTGGATTAGAGGCCTGTCGGGGAGCCATGGCACACACACCCACACACCCACACACACACACACACCCACACACCCACACACATCCAGCCCATCGAGGTATTGGATTTACGGTTTAGTTTAGCTTGGTTTCGGTCTATACCGTACCGGCTCTATGTGTCTATTTCAAAATCACCACAAACAGGGTACCCTTGCTTTTCTCACAGCCTACCCGGCTTGTATCTTTTGCCATCCCCAGCTTGCTCCACTGATGAAGCAAACAGCGAAATTCCTAAGCTCAGAATTTGGAAATCAGCAAGCAACGGTATACCCCATGGATAAACATCCAATGGTAGATTCGTCGTAGATTAACTCTTAGTAGTGTCTACACACATCTCACACAACATCACACATCTCACACAACACTCAACGTACACACACCTACACACACAAGATAAAGTTTAAAAGGCCCTCAGCTTGCTAGCTGGTAGTTGAGGGCAATCTACTCACATGCTTACATCCCTAGCTAGCTAGCCTAAATCGATACGAGATGGATATAGTTTTGCGCGCCAGTCGCAGTGACGGTGAGGGAAAGCATGCTGCATCCCCGTCAAGCAAGTTCGTGCGCGACCTCCACAGAAATAGGGGCTTGGATGGGAAAAAAGGCAAGAGACGATTACGCAACGACACATACATGTGCAGACTCTGCAAGTTGGTTGTTTCAGTCTACAGGGTGTTCCCATCTCAAGATTTCTTGCTTACAACCAGCACACAACAAACACAACAGCTGTCTCAGTCTATCCTCTTTCTGTTTCCTGATGCTGTTTTCTTTGGTCGCTTCTCCATTGATGGAGCATCGGTCAACCGCTCCGTGAGCAAGCAACTGACGGATGCCATTCAGCACAGGGCCCAATGCCGGCCGGGTGTGCCTTGGGTGCGTTGTCTTCAGACATGCGACTTACTTGCTGCCACGGAATGTGCCAAGGTTGCATCGATCGCTAGTCTCCCCGATCGAACGTGCCCAACCTGTGCTCATCCATTTATTGCTAGCCCGCCTACAACTAGACTAGCTAGCTAGACGCCTGCAATTATTTCAGGTGAGCGATTGCTTCGCTTCAATTCGCCTGGCTTCGAGGGCAGCAAGCCACTGCGCATCCGCATGTAATAATGTAAATAAGAAACATTGACAGTCAGTCATGGAGCGAAACAAGAAACGCACACACAGCACACGGCAACGCTAATGCTTTCTCTAAGAACATTGTTTTTTAAAATCAATAAAAAACTAGACAGACTATACCGTGCACAAAATGAATGAACGTGTACTGTACTCGTACACTGCTGCGTGATGACTGTTGCACAACTATGTACAACACCAGCACCGATCCAGCAACCTTTCAAGGTCCATTCAATGGCTCAAAGCACAGCCTGCATTTTGAAAAAATAAGCGCAAGGCTCCCCCAAAAGAGGAGAAAATTATATCCACGACAAGCTAGCTAGCTCTAGAGTGATCCAAGTGGACTCGACTCTCTTGCATTCATACATACACGAGCAATTCCAACGGTGGTGGAAGACAATGAGGAAAACAGCCAAGCATCCACTCCACCAGCACCCACCCCACCAGCACCCACCGAGTAGGGGAAGGACCATGCTTTCTCCACTTTTAAAATAAAGCAGCGAGAACCACCCGTATCTCACGCAGCTCCTCACCGCCGTTGCAAGAGAACACCACCAATAAAATGATATCTGTTCCACCACCAATAGTAGGATCAGCTCAAGATATATTGATTGATTGAGGCACCTCGTATGTGTAAGGGTGACACAAAAGGGCCAACCCAAGGTTGATTGTTGCTTCTGCCGTAGAATAAATAAATAGACCCACTGATTGGCTTTTTGGAGTGAAACAGTGGCGCCCCCAGTGGTGGCCTCGGCAACGCGAACCGTCATGGTGGATTTGTATGTGCTCCACAACCTTACACTCTTCTGTAACACCTTTGTCTATCGATACCGTATGGTATGGTAGCTCCGTTGTCGGTATTTTGCCTTGTTGATGCGATTTGTGCCATTATTGTACGGTTGCTAGTAGTACTGTAGCCATTGCTAGCTAGTAGCCATTGCTAGCTAGTAGCTAGCAAGCTATAATAGTTGTGGTAGCGTTCGATCGATCGCTCTGCCTCCTGCTGTTCTTCTCGCAAACTTGCTTGCTGGCGTACTTTTTTCTTCACTGTACAGAAGTAGCGGTAGCGTCTTCCAGAAGCTGCTCTGCCGATGCGCATCACGATAGTAGCAGTAGCGAGCCGACTGTTGCCAATCCTCTTCTTGTTGTACATGTAGTACAGTAGTAGCGCTGCTAGCTAGCAACACTCGACGCTGTTGCGCCTTGCACTCCTTGCACTCTTCGAGGCCACCTTTTATCATCCACAGGACAGTCCATCTTTCAGCGGTGTGCCGTGGTGGGGAACTCGGTCGTCACAACCATTGGTCGGCACCACTAGACTACAGTCGTAATACATGCAGTAGTATCAACGAACCCAACCATGACCCAGATAACCCAACAAGCAAAGTTGCTCCACGGAACGGCCTGCCTACTAGCTAGTACTGTAGATAGACTACCTCCAGATTCGATATATATGATTTGGTTCCCCCATCACAATGGATGACGAATGTGCGCACTTTTTCACCAAGACATGCGAATTATTGTCACTAGTTTATTGAATTAAGGAGCTCTTGCATCTTTGTAAAAACATTGTACAAATTAATCGATCGAAGAAAAGAAGCTTTCATCAGCAGACATTTCCATGAAAATGTCGACAGATGTCAAGCTTAAGCCTTTACCTGCAGCTGGTAGTAAGTACAGAATATTGAAAAAGTAGTACTATGTACCGGTACGAAATAAGCATATTTTTGGATTTATGTAAAAGCAATAGCCTCTTTGACATCTATCACCATTGGTCACTATAATCTCAAGGCGCTTTTCTATTATTGCAATGCCCTGATGAAAAGGACAGGAACAGAGAAATATATAGACAGTGAGGCATTTCTTCTCTGAGTAGTCATTAATGTGCGACTAGAGGAGTAAGATGTGTGTGTTATTCCCATAATGACTGCACAGCAATCCAGAACTTGGCGTGAAACTGCAACTGAAACCACGAAGATGGACTATATTATTAGAATAGTCATTGCAACTCCGTGAACTTTAAGAAATACACGAGTACCAACTATTTTTACAACAAAGTGGAACTTCGAAGAAGCTTTATTAACGAGATATGACCGCTGAATTAGGCTTCTTCTTTCCTGTCACAGCTTACTGTAGGTAACTAATGTACCAGCAAATGCCAACCAAACAACCGGCAAATGCCTGTTTGCACGTTCCCACTTGGACTAATAATTACATGTACTACACGTTGAGTACAGCAGTACCACCGGTACGGGTGGGCAGCAAGGACTGGCGCCATCATCATTCGGCTCATGCATGGGCTTGAAAGTGTGTGCTCTTCTGGCGTTGATCCCAGCCAAACCTGCCATTCTCGTCTCGAACGATTTTACGAAACAACCACCTTTTTCAATCATTCACCCTGGTTGCCTCTCCTTAGCTATCTATCTCTCGATCAAGTAACCGTAGTAACCATGCCAGCCAGCGACGACAACACGAACGGCCCAACCGATTCTGCCATCTCTTCTGACCATCCTTTCGACCTGTCGAATGCGTCCTTTCGAGGTTCTGATGTTCCATTTGGTAACGATGTCTACGGAGCCGACACCGACGCCGACGATACTGACAAGCGGTCCGAGAAAGACAAGGAAGAAGAACTTGACGAAGTTGGACTGGATCTGGAGGATGAGCTCAATGCCTGGGATAAGAACAGTTTCGATATGGAAGGAGAAGAGGATGCCAGTCTCAGTACCAACGCCGGAAGAGAAGAAGCTATTCGTGAAGGCTTGTATGGTTTGATTGAGGATAAAATCCGAAATGGAATTTTCCAGCACATTTTGGCTGCCCTTGCTGCTATCTGGGACTTCTTGGTCAAGAAGTGCAGAGGCGGCACAAGCGAGGATGACGCGGCTGGTATGGCCATGGATGTAGTGGATGCTGTCAACCCAATCAACCCAAACAACCTAGCCACGTCTCAGTTTGGTCAAAGTGGAGCCGGTGGCGGAGGAGGAACCGGAGGCGCTGGTGGTGGAGCAGGTGGAGGAGCCAGTAGTGCCGGTGCATCGAGTGCCAGTGCAAGTGCTGGCGGTGCGTCCGGCGCTGGAGCAGCCCAGGCCACTGCTGTGGTTGGGCAAATGGCTACCCAAGCCGCTGTCAGTGCAGCTGGAGCATCCACTGCTGCAGCTTCAACCGCAGGTAAGGCTCAGTCCCAGCAAGCTACGCAAATTAATGAGGGATTCTCTGGGTCAAATCTTGTCCTGGTTTTCTGTACCAAGATTGCTTTTGTTGCCCTTGGCAATGTGCTACTTTTTCTCACACAGCTCCTTGACATAACTATTTCTTCTTCCACCACAGCTGCTGCCAGTGCCACCATTGCAACCACAGTTGCAACTGCTGTAGCCTCTGCTAGCGTGGCATCTCAAGTTGGGGTGACTATTGGTGTTGCCGCTGTAACAGTAGCAGCAGTGAGTACTGGTATGGGTGTCGCTCCTACAAGCAACACCACCACTGCTGTCGTGAAGTTGGATGCATTTGTGCCCCCAACCTGTTCGCTGTCCGCTGAACTCAAGCAAGGTATTGTGGAATTGAAGATCCAAGGCATGCCGGAGGATGCCCTGCCAGAGCATAAGGATAGCTTAGAAGGGTAAGCATAATTGTCATGATCGATGAGAGTGCACCACTTGTTTCCTTTTAGTGATGCTCACCAATGATCATTTTCTCCTCCTCCTCTGCAGAATCTTTCGAGATCTCTACAACAATATTACCGGCATGTGCTTGGACCCATTTTCACGGGTATTGCATAGTGCCGAACTCCAAGGTTGGAGTACCGAAGACACTGTGGTTTTCCTGGATGTCATTGCCCCAACATCAACCAATGAGACCTCAGCCAATCAGACAATGCGGACTCAAGTTGTTGTGCCCATCACAACAACGTCTTGGCTTGCCACCGTTGCGTGTGATGGCTGCCCAGATTATGAACCACTCTTCCAACTTCCAGACAATGACGAGACAAGCTTAGGTGGCACCAATGGGACAAACAGCAGTGCAACTTTGGAACAAGCCAATGGTACTATTCCCACAGCAAGTAATGACAGCAGCATTGTTCCCAGCTTGTCCAGGCGTAGCCTGCAGCTGAAAACCAACATCGACGCGTCCCAGTTCTTTCCTTTGTTTGCTGCCTCGTTTGGTTACAATGTTGAGCCAGTGTTGTTTGAGGCAGATTCAACAGATGGACCAGAGCAGGCAGCAAGGAGAGGAATGATGCAGGTCGTCTTTGCCACTACTAAGGCTGCCTCACCCGGAGGGGAAGGGGGAGATCAGCAAGATGCGGTTGTTCTCTCCATTGGTCAAGACGTGATACAGCCTTATGTTGAGACAGTTGAAGAGAATGAAGGGACTATTATGACTCCATTCATATCCGACGAGTTGTCATCACTCTCACAATGTGTCTCTGCGGATGAGGATGAAGAGCTTTCCACGGACAATGATGACTTGTGCCAGCAGCTACAACAGCTTATTGCTGCAGAGGACAACGGAGATGGAGCAGCCATTGACCCTGATGTCTTGGTCGCATGTCTTCAGACCCCAACTGTCCCAGCCTGCCAAGAAGTATTGGCCACCGCCATTGACTCCATTAGTAGCAATGAACAACCCTCTACTGAGAGTGTTGCTGCAGGTACTGAAGAAAATGGTACTGAAGAAGGTGGTAGTCAAGACGGTCCACCCTCTACTGAGAGTGTTTCTGGCAACACAGAGGGTGGTGATTCATCCTTTGATACTGATTCTGGTACTGCACAGGGATCAGATGGAGAGGATGTCACTGACACTGCAGGTAGAGATGAAGACACATCTGGAAGCAATCCCGTGGGTATCGGTGTTAGTGGCAATAATGCTGCAGGTACTGAAGAAGACAGTAGTCAAGTGGGTGGTAGTGTTGAACCACCCTCCAGTGAAAGTGTTTCTGGCAACACAGAGGGTGGTGATTCTTCTTTTGAAACTAATTCTGGGACTGGACAGGGCGTAGAAGATTTCTCTGGAGCAGCAGGTGGAGATGCAGACACTTCTGGAAGCAGTCCCATGGCCAACAATGATATCGATGCTTCAGGTACTGAAGGTGGTAGTCAAGTGGGTGGTAGTGAAACCGGAAATGGGGATGTTTCAGGAAGCAGTCCCACAGAAAATGGCCATGGGGATGACACAGCTGCGATGTCTGATGTCCCAGCAAGACCCACTGATGGGTTTTCTTCGCCCATGGATGACAACACTGTGGGGAATGCACCGGCTTCTTCTGTTCTGGCGCCTAACGAGGGCATCAGCGGCATGGGACAAAGTCCATCTGGATCAGAAGGCAATTCTCCAGATGGGATTCAGTCGTCTCCTCAAGTGCCCTCGAGTCAAGCAGGAGCCCCAGGTGGTCAAGGTGAAATGGGACTTTCTGGCACAAGTGGGCTCGGACCCCCAGCCATTACAGGCTTAGGGGACAATTCTCCAGTTGCGACTGCTAGTCATCTACATGCCCCAAATGCTCCTGCTTCTCATCCACAAGACGAGGCCACCAATGCAATGCCTGTTAATCCAGGGGAGATGTTGACTCAACTGAGCCCAGTGGGCACTGGCCCCTCTGGTTCAAGTGAATCAAAATCATCTGGCACCAGTGGACTTGACAACGCTGCCGCTATGATTGTAACGCAACCGGCCAATGGACCATTGAATTCACCCCCTTCCAATCCCACGGTTTCAAGTGCTAATGCCGGAGAGGTCCCAGCACCAAGTCTTCTGTCAATGCCCACAAAAATCATCCAATCAAGTGGTATCTCTGCATTACCACCATCACCAAGCCAAATCTACAGAGGAACTCTTTCTCCAGAGTCTTCTACATCGCTTATGTCTTTTTCAAGTAATACTGGTTACATTCCTGCAGCACCCCAAGCGTCCAACCCTTTGTTCGTCCCAGTACCGTTGGCCAGTGTGACTTTATCACCAGCTTCTTCTGCAAGCCTGAATGCCTTTTCTAATGAAGTTGCTAAGGAACCAACGAGACCACCTGTTCAGACTTTTCCCACCTCAAAAGAGCCCACACTCTCACCCACCTCCCAACCTACAAAAACCCCAACACCACAACCAACATTCCAGCCAACTGATGAGCCCACACTGCAACCAACTGATGAGCCCACAACTGAGCCCACAACTGAGCCCACAATCCAGCCAACAATTGAGCTGACACAGGAAACTACTGTGCCAAATACAATCTCACCAACCACAGCTCCTTCCATTGACACACTTCTATCACCCAGTGCCATCCCAAACACACTAATCCCAACTGTGACGCCTGGAAGTCCCTCTGTCACTCCCACTACTGGAATCCCAACAGTTACTCCCGGAAGTCCTTCAATCTCCCCTACCACTGAATCTCCCACTGTGACTCCTGGAAGTCCCTCTGTCACTCCCACTACTGGAAATCCAACCGTTACTCCTGGAAGTCCCTCAATCTCTCCAACCACAGAATCTCCCACTGTGACTCCTGGAAGTCCATCCATCTCACCAAACACCGGAATCCCAACAGTGACACCAGGATCTCCCAGTTTCAGTCCCACAACTGAATCCCCCAGCGTTGCCTGTAATGATCCTTATGTCAGTGTTGAGAGAAGCTACTATGTGTCATTTGCAGGTGATGTGACAACATTAACTGATGAAGAGCTTGTTTCAGCATTTTCATCTGGCTATGCTGCTCTCTCAAAGAGTTCCTGTGCTGAAGCTCTCCAACTTGTTGCCCCAGTGAGACCAATCACCAGGCGACAGCTGCAGTCATCTGATTCGTCTGTTGTAGCATTTTCTGCACAGACGACACAAATTTCAAGTGAGAGTCTTTTTACAACTTTGGTTGAAATAAACAAATTCATTGAGGGGTTCAACAAGGACTTGCAAGGGAATTTGGCTGTTGCCACTGGAGTTAGTGATGCGGAGATTTCTACTCCCATACCAACAGTCACACCTGGTTCTCTGAGCGTCACTCCCACTAAGCCACCAACAGAACCACCAACGGCATCTCCCACCGGTGTGTCAACGGGGTCCCCCACTCCCACACCAACAGTCACACCTGGTTCTCCCAGCGTCACTCCCACAAAGCCACAAACAGAACCACCAACAGCATCTCCCACCGGTGTGCCAACGTACTCCCCCACTACCACACCAACAGTCACCCCTGGTTCTCCGAGTGTCACCCCCACCACTAAGCCACGAACAGAACCACCAACAGCATCTCCCATCGGTGTGCCAACGGGGTCCCCCACTACCATACCAACAGTCACCCCTGGTTCTCCCAGCGTCACTCCCACCACTAAGCCACGAACAGAACCACCAACAGCATCTCCCACCGGTGTGCCAACGGGATCCCCCACTCCCATACCAACAGTCACCCCTGGTTCTCCCAGCGTCACCCCCACCAAGCCACCAACAGAACCACCAACAATGATTCCATCCAATCAACCATCAGTATCTCCCAGCCATACCTGCAATGATCCATATGTCAGTGTTGAAAGCAATTACTATGTGTCATTCTCCGGCGATGTCACAACGTTAACTGATGAAGAGTTGGCGTCTGCGTTTTCATCTGGGTATGCTGCTCTTTCCAAGAGTTCCTGTGCAGAGGCTCTAGGCCTTGTCTTGCCTCAAAGACGATTTGCCAGACGAAAACTGCAATCAACAGGGTCGGCCACGATTGAATTCTTTTTGCAGACAAGGCAATTGTCTGTTGGAAGTCTTTTTGCTACACCTACTGCTTCAACTTCATTCATCACTGGTTTCAATGTGGGGATGCAAGGTAACGCAGCTGTTGCAACAGCAGTGAGTGATACTCTTGTAACAATGTCCCCAACAAGCTTTCCAAGTGTGACACCATCGAAGAGTTCTAGTGGTTTCCCAAGTGTAATCCCATCTCAGCTCCCTTCATTTGGAGTCCTATCCTCATTTCCAACTGTCACCCCGGGGAATCCTACGACAAGTCCATCGATATCCCTTAGTCCATCAGAGTCGCCATCTGAGAGGCCAAGTCAAAGCAATGTACCAGGTGTTATCCCATCTCTGCCCCCCTCAACCAGTCCTACGAGAGACCTCTCCTCATTACCTAGTGTCACCCCAGGGAATCCTACTACAAGTCCTACAATATCAATCAACCCAACAGAGTTGCCTTCCGAGAACCCTACTCAGAGCAATGTTCCTAGTTCCATCCCATCTCTGTTGCCTTCAACAAGTCCTACAAGAGTGCTATCCTCATTTCCAACTGTCACTCCGGGGAATCCTACCACAAGTCCATCAATGTCCATGAGTCCATCAGAGTCGCCATCTGAGAGCCAAGTCAAAGCAATGTACCAAGTGTTATCCCATCTATGCCCCCCTCAACTAGTCCTACAAGAGTCTTCCTCATTACCTAGCTTCCCCCCAGGGAATCCTACTACAAGTCCTACAATATCAATCAACCCATCGGAGTTGCCTTCCGAGAACCCTACTCAAAGCAAAATTCCAAGTTCCATCCCATCTCTGTTGCTTTCAACAAGTCCTACAAGAGTGCTATCTCATTTCCAACTGTCACCCCGGGGAATCCTACTACAAGTCCATCGATGTCAATAAGTCCATCAGGGTTGCCGTCTGAGAGCCCTAGTCAGTTCAATGAACCAAGTGTTATCCCATCTCTGTCCCCTTCAACAAGCCCTACTAGGGTCCTTTCCTCAGTTCCTACTGTCACCCCGGGGAATCCACCACAAGTCCATCCGTATCAACTAGCCCATCAAGTTGCCGTCTGAGAGGCCTAGTCAAAGCAAAATTCCAAGTTCCATCCCATCTCTGTTGCCTTCAACAAGTCCTACAAGAGTGCTATCCTCATCACCTAGCGTCACCCCAGGAATCCTACCACAAGTCCATCCATGTCAATAAGTCCTTCAGAGTTGCCGTCTGAGACCCTAGTCAGAGCAATACAAGTTATCCCATCTCTGTGCCTCAACAAGCCCTACAGGAGCCAATCATCTTGCCTACTTTCACCCCAGGGAATCCTACCACAAGTCCAACAATATCAACAAGCCCATCAAATTTGCCATCTGAGAGGCCTAGTCAAAGCAATATTCCAAGTTCCATCCCATCTCAGTCCCCTTCAACAAATCCTACAAGAGTCCTGTCCTCATTACCTAGCATCACCCCAGGAAATCCTACTACAAGTCCATCCACGTCAATTAGCCCATCAGAGTTGCCGTCTGAGAACCCTAGCCAAAGCAATGAACCAAGTGATATCCCATCTCTGTCACCATCAACAAGTCCTACAGGAGAACCATCCTCAATGCCTACATTGACCATTGGGAATCCCTCTACAAGTCCTTCAATGTCAATCAGCCCATCCGAGTTGCCTTCGGAGAACCCTACTCAAAGCAATGTTCCAAGTACCATCCCATCTGGATCGCCTTCAACAAGCCCTACAGCACATCCATCCTCATTGCCTTCAGTCACTCCAGGGAATCCTACTACAAGTCCAACAGCCTCAACTAACCCATCAAAGTTGCCGTCTGAGAGCCCTAGTCAAAGCAATGTTCCAAGCGTTAGCCCCTCTGATATGCCATCGTCGAAGCCAAGCTTGGGTCCCTCAGATGCGCTTTCAACTAGTCCCAGCACCAGCCCCTCCGACTTGTCCTCCTTCAGCCCATCCAATAGACCATCCATGCTCCCAAGCACTAGCCCTTCCGACACTTCCACAAGCCCCAGCATTAGCCCTTCTGACATTCCATCTTCAAGCCCCAGTATAAGTCCATCAAATCAACCATCCATGCTTCCTAGCCTCAGTTCGGATGCACCATCCTCAAGACCTAGCAATAGTCCATCTGATGGGCCTTCCATGTCTCCATCAGATTTACCATCCATGCTTCCTAGCCTCAGTTCTGATGCTCCATCCTCAAGACCTAGCAATAGTCCATCTGATGGGCCTTCCATGTCTCCATCAAATATACCATCCATGCTTCCTAGCC